AATACTTAATATTTACAACAAACTATTATTTTAGAAAAATAACTTCAATAGGTTGCGTAGGAACCATTGAGTCAAAGAAAGGTTTCACTCGTTGCCTGTTCACTTTGAAAGTAGTACCCCTCTCCGAATCTATCAGGTCAATAACTCCGTAGGGGTATACCTTGGCAACAACAAAAGGTCCGGTCCATCGGGAATTCAGCTTTCCCGGAAATAATTTTAACCTTGAATTGAACAATATGACTTTTGGGCCTTCTATGAACTCTTTTGGAAGAATCATTTTATCATGCCATTTCTTGGTATTTTCTTTGTATAGCTTAGCATTTTCATAGGAAAAATTCTTATGTTCTTCCAGTTCACAAAGCTGCAAAGTCCTTTTTCTTCTGGCCTCATCTAAACTCATGTTGAGTTCCTTAATGGCCCAATAGGCTTTGTGCTCTAATTCCACAGGTAAATGACAAGCTTTTCCAAAGACCAATTTATAGGAGACATACCAATAGGCGTTTTGTAAGCAGTCCGGTAGGCCCATAACGCATCATCTAACTTAGAGGCCCAATCCTTTCTATGTGGCTTGACTACTTTGGCCAAAATCCCTTTTATCTCCCTATTTGACAATTCAACTAATCCGTTGGTCTGAGGATAGTAGGCAGTTGCTACCCTATGCTTGATGTCATACTTATCTAGAACTTCTTCTAACACGTTGTTTATGAAGTGAGTGCCTTCATCACTAATTAAGGCACGAGGTGTACCAAATCTAGTGAATATGTGCTTTTGTAAAAACTTAACAACTGTTTTTGCATCATTGGAATGGCAAGCCATGGCTTCCACCCATTTGGACACATAGTCCACAACTACCAATATGTAGGCACAATTATTGGACAGAGGAAAAGGTCTCATAAAGTTTATACCCCAAACATCAAATAATTCTATTTCTAGAATTCCGTCTAAAGGCATTTCATTTCTTCTAGAGATATTTCCACTTCTCTGACACTTATTGCAACTTTTTACAAAGTTTTGAGCATCATTGTGCAAAGTAGGCCAGTAGAATCCTGATTGTAAAACCTTGGATAATGTCCTACTTTTTCCACAATGTCCTCCACAAGGTCCTGCATGGCAGTGTTGTAGAACTGATGGTACTTCTTCTTTTGGGATGCATCTTCTAATCACCTGAGCTGCACAAATTTTAAACAAGAAAGGGTCATCCCATAAATATTTCTTTGAACCATAGATGAGTTTCTTTCTTTGATACTTATTAAATTCCTTGGGAATAATCCCACAAGCTAAGTAATTAACAAGATTAGCAAACCAAGGCACTTTAGTATGATTAAGAGCTAAAATTCTTTCATATGGAAATACTTCACAGATGTCACTACTTTGCACTGGTTTGTCTTGTTTTTCCAATCTTGACAGATGGTCGGCCACTTGATTATCCACCCCTTTTCTATCAATGATTTCCAAATCAAACTCTTGTAAAAGCAAGACCCACCTTATTAACCTTGGCTTTGCATCTTTTTTAGAAATAAGATACTTGATGGCAGCATGATCAGTATGAACAATCACTTTGGTTCCCATCAAGTATGATCTGAATTTTTCAAAATCAAAGACCATAGCTAATAATTCCTTTTCAGTAGTGGTGTAATTGATTTGAGCATCATTAAGAGTTTTGCTTGCATAATAAATAGGATGAAAAATCTTTTCTYTCTTTTGWCCCAACACTGCACCAACTGCCCAGTCACTAGCATCAGTCATTATTTCAAAGGGTTTGGACCAATCCGGTGTTATTACCACAGGAGCAGTGACCAATGCTTCTTTTAAAATGTTGAAAGCTTTTCTACAATCTTCATTAAAATTGAAAACATGGTCATGCTGTAATAATAAACAAAGAGGTTTTGATATTTTTGAAAAATCTTTAATGAACCTCCTATAAAAACCTACATGTCCTAAAAAACTTCTGATCCCTTTGACAGTTGTTGGTTCAGGTAACTTCTCAGTTACCTCTAACTTTGCTTTATCAACTTCAATGCCTCTTTTGGAAATTAAATGCCCTAACACTATGCCTTCTTTTACCATAAAGTGACATTTTTCCCAATTCAAAACCAAATATGTTTCTTCACATCTTTTAAGACTTTTT